TTTACCCCCATAGTTTTCTCCCAAATTTATAACCCCAGTCTAATTATCAGAAAAATATCAATCAATTCCAATGGAGAGATAGTCTAGAAAATACCTGACCAGAATGCCTCAAAACTGTCAAAGTCATCAAATCAAGCAAAGTTTGAGAAACTATTATAGCTGGGAGAAGCCTAAGGAGACATGATAACTAAATGTAATAGGATATGCTGGATGGGATCCTGGAACAGAAAGAAGATAATAAGTAAAAACTAAGGAAATCAAAATAAAGTATGGACTGAGGTTAATATTAATGTATCAATATTGGTTCAGAGTCCAGAGTGCTAACCATTACACTATGGAACCTTCAGTATTGGTTCATTAATAGACAGATGTACTGCACTCTTGTAAGATGTTCCTTACTGGGGACACTAGATGTGGGGTATATGGGAACGTCTATACTATCAATTTTTAAAATAGCACAAGAAAATGCTGAGGAAGCTTTATTAATTTACCTACTATATATGTTCAGTGACTATGTATCAAAAATATATTAGAGCAATTTGAGGGTTCTTTGGAAGAATGGTAATATTACATATTTTCATTTAAAGTGATATAACTTTCCTGCAACATAACTTTCCTATAACTAGTGACAAAACTAACCTATGACTTACAGTGATGGTTTTAATACCTATAAATAAACTACATGAAAACATACATACAAATAGGCAAACATACAACAATTATAAAAACAACAGAATTGTATAACCAATTAGAAATATAATGATAAAATTCTAATAGTGATAGGATGTGTTCTACACTTAAAATTTTCATCATAAACAATCCTAGATTTTAAGCTTAACTTTATTTAGTCTTGATGACTAGTTGTAGATTTGAAGTATGTCTTTTTGGGTAATTTGATGATAAGTGAACACAAATCTAAAAACATTAAAATTTGTCAATATGGTACAGCACTGTGGAGATACTTATAATAAATTGGTCCATACTGGGAACTTTCACTGGCCTAAAATATGGCTATTTTGCTTATTGTGCTGGTGCTCAAAGGTCAGCCCCATGTAAAAGCTACAATACAGAAACAATTTAGAATATTTCCACGTGTCCGAAAGGTAAAACTCAGAAGTTATGTAAATCTTTTTGTTTTAGACATGACTTGATTTCTTTAGTATTTTTTATTATTCTTACACTAGGAAAGTAATAGTTTTAGTTTGCAAGCAGAAATGTTCTAAGTCATCCTTCTCATTTTGTTCCAGGCTTACTTAATAAACACTTGAACAAGTAAACAAGGAACAAAAGGTATCAGCGAGGAAGACAAATGAGATGTATTAAATGTGCCCTTGATGCTGACAAAGGTGGCTAGAGTTGTTTTAATGTGCACAGTACTTGTAAATTACTTTACAGCAGTGGCTGAGTTCTGCCATTTACAATTTGTGCATCATCATTATGTCCCCGGGAGCTGTCAGCGTCCCCTCGTTGGTCAGCTTTTACCCAGATGACACAGAGGTGGTCTTGCCAGAGAGGACATTATTCCTAAACTACTCTGAGCTGAGAGTGCTCTTCTCTGATTCTGAACAATTTTTAAAGAGCACTCCTACTTTAACCTCTGAGAAAACCAAATTTGGCAAACAATGGCATTATTCAATCAAGCAGTTTTTGAAAGCTACATAATTTTTTGTTTAACTTTGATGGATGTAAGTAAATAAAGTATTCCACTTCAGGCTGTTTAAGTGTGTGTTGATTTTTATTTGAAAGCTTCACTCTGAAACTGTGGATTTTATTAAAGAATTGACTAAGTTTTGCCCAGCCCATGTGGCTCAGTGGTTGAGCATCGACCCATGCACCAAGAGGTCACTGGTTCGATTCCAGGTCAAGGCACATGCCCAGGTTGTAGGCCAGATCCCCAGTGGAGGGCATGCAGGAGGCAGCCAATCGATGGTCTCTCTCATTGATGTTCTCTCTCATCAATGTTTCTATGTTTCTCTCCATCTCCCTTCCTCTCTCTCTAAAAATCAAGAAAGAAAAAAAAAAATTGTAAATATTGGCTAGATTTTAAAATAAAGCACACATCCCCAATTAATAAGATTCTAATATATGCAACTAAAATGAGACACTCATTTTTGAGTGATACATGATGATGTATGTATTTGCTATTCATTCTTTCATATATGCATGCATGCATTCAACAAATATTTATTAAATCTCCATGCAAAATAATCTTCAGATGCTGGAAATAGAGCAGTGAATGAAACCAAATTAATCCTGCCTTTATAGAGCATACACGTTAAATGCAATTTATGAATAGAATGGTGAAAACACCATCTATTATTAGGTGGAAACTGACAGTTATCTATAAGAAATAACGTCAGCCAAAAAGAGAATGTTTGCAAAGTAGTAAAGTGAGTGAAGAACGTTCAAGACAGTCTTTGTATATTTACTAACAAAATGCAATAAATATATAATGCTAATGGGAAATTCACTATAATTCATGACGATTCAAGATAATTCATAAAGCTATTTACTACTGATCAAAGTATGTTAAAAAAAAAACATCCTCTCTCTTCCATAAGCCTCTGTCACTGTTTCTGCTTCAGTAAATGTGCTCCTTTGCTACAAACACTCTGATGAATGAGGGGGCCCCATAGCTTATTTTTTCTTGTTTCTTGTCTTCGGAATGCTTTGTCCACAGTGCAGAATATGGCGTGACTTTTTCCTCATTACGAAATCAAGAGATCAACAGGGACTTGAATCTATACCGAAATGTGACTGTGAGAACTGCCATTCTATTACAATTTCTGTGGAAGTAAACATGCTGCAATTTCAAAACTACTTTTATTCATTTTGGGCTTTATATACACACTATGTGCTATAATATTCCAGAAAAAAACTTGGTGGAACTGGACACATTTAAGAAAACAAGATGAGGACAAATATATGCATCCTCTGAACCTGAGTATCTCAAAGGTCTGTGGTTAAAAAAACAAAAGCACATGTTAAAATACCAAAGTCATTATCACCCTATTATGAGTATATAAAACATGAAACGGTTAACTAATTTTGCTCTCTTATAGATCATGTCTCTATGTATTTTAATCTTACTAGAAGACACTTTTCACCCTTGAGTTTCATCATTGAGTTTGTTGACATAATGATTTTAAAAGGCGTTTGAATATTGTTCTGATGTTGTTTTACCACATGCTGCTCTGTCCCAGACACTGTTTTAAATCCAGGGAGTCAGCAGTGAATAAAGTAAACATAGTCCTGCCCTCACAAAAGTTACATGCTACTGGCGAGGACAGAAACAAGCAAATCTGTAGTTAAGATACAGTATCAGATAGTGCAGATGTAAGAGCTAAGGAGAGAAATGAAACACGGAAGGGACAGAGGGCATGGTGAGTTGAGAAGGGATGGAGGTGAGTTAGTGAAGTAGACAGGCAGGGTCTCAGCGAGACACCCAGAGGAAAGGGAGCGCTCTGGAGAGGCACCTCTGAATGAGGGATGCCAGGTGCAGGGCTCCTTCGGTAGGAGCGTGTCTGCAGTGCAGACAGCCTGGGCAGAGCTGCTGAAGAGAACACGCGTGTGTTCATCCTTGTTTGAAAGTCTGGGTTTGGGTTTTACTCTTGAGTCGTATATAATTATATCATTATATATACATAATTTTACATACATTTAAATTTTGAATATATAAATATATATATAACTTAATTTCACCAGATGTCTGATACTGTTTATAATGTTCAGATGTAGATGGGGCTATGACTGTGGTTATACACTACTCATTAAGGCTGACATATTTAACATTATATATGTACATTATACCTATTGCATCTAATACATAATATATCATACACACACACACACACAAAATTAATTAGACCATGATAGTCTTCCAGTGTCTTTTATAAAAGCTAAAAGCTACAAAAATAAAGGTAATCTACCACAGAAAAATATTAGTCAGTATCTCTTTATGATGTCAAACCCAGTGTCCACACAAGTTTCTACAAACTGATAAAAATGGATGTTGAATCAAATATCAGTATATTTGTGGATTAAAAAGATCCAGACGTATCTGAAATAGTATACATATTTTTTCAATTTTATTCAGAAAAAATAGTCATTTAATAGATATCGGCAAGAAACAACAAACACTGTGGGTGTCTGTGAAGTCTCATGGAATACTTGTGGGAAACAGAAAGAAAGAATAATGTTTGTTTTGTTTGTTGTTTTCAAGATCTACCACATATTCTATAACATGTTTTTGAAGGAAAACATGTTCTATATTTAATATATAAATGTAGTGATGATTGTAGAAACCACGATTTCTAATATAATAAATGAAAAAAACCTTAAAGATGTAAAAATGTGCTAATATAGATAATTATGTATCTATAGCATAATGACATACAGTTCATAATTTTTATTTATTTATTCATTTATTTAAATATGTTTTTATTGATTTTTTTTTTTTAGAAACAGGAAGAGATCAAAACTGTGAGAGAGAACCATCAATCGGCTGCCTCCTGCACGCCCCCTAGTGGGGATGGAGCCTGCAACCCGGGCATGTACCCTGAGTGGAATCCAACTGGGACCTCTCAGTTCATGGGAAGACTCTCAGTCCACTGAGCCACACCGGCCAGGCAGTTTAAATTTTAAAACCAGAAGATATATCAAGTCATCAAAACCATCTTTATTCTTTAAGAAAAAGTACAATCATTTATTTGTGTTTCTAAACTTCATAGAAAACATGCAACTTAAGATTCTATGTGACTACAGTTTTAGGATAGAAAAATCTCAAGCTACTTAGTGGATATATATTTGTAAAACACTTTGCAATCTATAAAAAACCTTGTATTATATAGAGAGAGTAAAATTGTTTCCAGGTTAAAAGAAAATTTAATTGTTTGGGATTTGGGGTATATTGCATTCCAAGAATGCCAATATACATTATTCGTCGTCGTAACTTCAGGGCTCTGTTAATCATGCTATTCTCCATTTATACTGTTTTGCAGCCCCCTCTCCAGTCACCAATGTGAGAAAGGGGAAGATTGCAAAGAACAGCATCTCTCTGTCTTGGCAAGAGCCAGATCGCCCCAATGGAATCATTCTGGAGTATGAAATCAAATATTTTGAAAAGGTGGGACTAACAGAATAAAGAATGTCCTTTCTTCCTTTTTACTTATTTATTTTTATTTTAGCAACTGCAATTATCCAATTTGTCGAAAAGCCTGTTGCAATTTTACGTGTAAATCAATGACAATTGATTCTGCAGTCATGACTCTGGCGGCTGGGAGTGTTCAGGGAGCACTCTATTTGTGTTCTGCTGCTGCCAAACAGTTCCTGCTGCCCGGATGCTGCTGTATAGTCTCACATCCATTTAACGAGGTTTTACAGCATTAAGAGATGAAGTCATAGGACATTTTCAAAGTGTCACAAACACTCAAGGTGCTGACCTTCATTAGTGACTGAGGTGTACCACAAGAAAAGCGCTGTGCTCCAGTACCCTGCGTAATACCTGCACTGGTAAGGAAGTATGGACAGATATATGTGTGTGATGTATAATTTTTAAAAATCCATAACAAAATCTGTCACTGGAGCATAAGATTTATTTTAAAATTTGGGAGCCCAAAATTGGAAATGTGTGCCTCATACTCGCTATGTTTTCTCGATTTCTTCTTCCCTGAGTTGGCTCTCAGGTCCAAGCTTACATGTTTTGCCATAATAATTTTTGAGGTCTGAAGGCGATAACCATCCCTCTTCTTGTTTTCTGGATCCACAGCCAACTGAGGTATTGATAAAGGAAGTGTACAAGTGAAAACTAAAGATGAGCCTAGAATTCCTAAAGCCGGACCAGATAATTTGGCTTAGATATGAAACCACCGGGAGTCTCCAACTCACAGCCCCATTTGACTGTGATGTTTGTGGTCTGGATCTGAATGGCACACACCACCTAGATCAGCCTGGGTTCTAACAGAGGAGCTGAAGATAGATGAGTGGCCAAACCAGCCTCTAATTGGTGGATAGAAAACCCTGACATGGAAGTGTACATCTAGAAGAAGTGGGATTGATTGTAGATATAGTACAGAGAAGCAGATCCCGAGAAGGAAGGGAAGGGCTCAGCCACATTATTTAATTGCTTTTCCTGGACTCACAGGAAAAGAGGAAGAGAGGACTCACTTCCTCTCTTAAGGAAAAGGGAAGAGGTTGGGAGGAAGTTCATAAACTTACCTTGCAATACCTAAGACATTGTCCAAGCTATGCTTTGGAAAAGAGAAAGAGATTCAATGATTATCTTTACACTAATGCAAAAACATGAAAAATGCTGATTTTTTATTAATAAAGATGACTTAAAATCCAACATTGTATGTATATGCATAGATAAAAGTATAAGTAAGTACATTATAATATTGAAATAATTAATACCATTATAGAATACATATATTTAAAATTTTTCTTCTTTTATTTATTGACAATTGCCTGTGTACAGGTACAACAGAGTACAAAGCAGCAGGGTGCCTGGGGAGGGGGAGCAGGGCTAGCTACATATTCTTTCCAGGTCTTGTATGTCTGTAAAATGTTCATGTATTGCTTTTATAAACAGATGAGTAAACAGAAAATTATTTCTCTTGAAATTGTCTTTCTAGGAATGACTTGATGGTAGCATTACATGTAAACTACTGAGTCAAATACATTATTCACCAACAATGCTCTAAGAATACTTCTGAGAAAAAACAATGTTGGGATATGGTTTACAGTGTTTATTGTAAAAAAAACAAAACAAGCAAATAAATGAAGTAAAATATTGCTGTATTAATATCCCTCACTGATTCCTGTTTCTCCAAAACTTAAGTGCAAATGCTACAGGTCTACTATGTAAATGCATTCTATAGCCAAACATAATTTGTTAAAGTGTGCATTCTTTAATCAAGTTTTTATAAACTTTATTATTGTTTACTATTGCAAAGCTGGATAACCAGAGCTGTAACTAGAGCATATATATATAAATATATATGTATATATACACATTTATGCATATATATGGACTGAATTGTAAACATTCTAAGTCTCCAAATTTTTATAGTAATTAAATTTGATTTTTTAAAAACATTGAAATGCATAATGGCATTTAAAAAGTAACTATACAGCCCTGTCTGGTTTGGCTCAGCGGTAGAGCATCAGCCCACGGATCAATGAGTTGCGGGTTCGATTCTGGTCAAGGGCATGTACCCTGGTTGTGGTTTGTCCCTGGCCTTGGTTGGGGCTGTGCGGGAAGCAACCAGTCAATGTGTCCCTCTCACATCGATGTTTCTTTCTCTCTCCTCTCTCCCCCTCCCACTCTAGCTGAAGATAAACAGAAAAATGTCCTTGGGTGAGGATTAAAAAAAATAATAACTATACACTAAAAACTATACATTTGAATATCTATATTTTAGTTGAAATAAAGTTCAAGCACAGAAAGACTAAAAGTTTGACAAGTACTTATTTTCCTGCATAGTTTTTCTTCCCCTAAAGCAACTAGCTGGACCAATGTCTGGTTTTTCCTTTTTATGTTTAAGGAAATTATCTTATTTTTCCCCTCTGTGAATAAAGTTTGGTTGTTTTTACTATTATTTCCCAGCACGTGCATGAGTGTCATATATACAGAGGAGGGTAAAAGTAGGTTTAGAGTTGTTCGCATGGAATAATTGTATTAATTATTATATAATGATTAATAAATAATATAAGAATAAACTCTGTGTTTCATGTACTCACAACTATAAACCTACATTTACTGCTCCTGTATTATATAGAAGCAAGGATTAATCCTTCTTAAAATTTTTAAGCTGCTATTAAAGAGGGACCCAACAGTTGGTGGAGTGCTTTTCTATTAATATTTCTTCTAATGAATTTTGTTCACATTGTGGAATTTATTTATAGTTTAATTTCTTTTAAAATCATTGACTTCAGTAAGATGTTTTGATATTCAATATTTTATGTGTAGTGGTGTATTAATACATTCTATTATCTGTATAACTCAAAGTAAGACAAATGATTTGGGGGAAAAAAAAGAGATTTTTGCATATCCCCAATAAATAAATAAGTTGCCTACTTACATGAAATAAAATCACCAAAACCGTTTATATAAAATATTATTTGGGTAAGTTATTAACTTTTTGGGTTAATATTTTTCTTTTTATAACGAAGAATTAAAGCCCAGACCTTTTCTCCACACTAAATGATTGAGCGTGCCAATAAAAACTGTGTAAAGTTTTGTTTCGTTTTTGTTTAGCTTTCAGAAGAAGAAAGCAAGGATGAAGAGCCTCTATACCATGTATTAAGACAGGGGTCCTGACAGGTTTCCAGAGCTCATTGGGAACCTTCAGCACGACACAGCCACGTTAGGTGGCTCCTGGCCAGACGCAGGTGGTAGAGCTTTCCAGGGCCCATGTGTTTGCCAGCTGGCGCTTCTGCCCGCACTCGCCCTGCTCTAATAGAGGTCACTGGGCTTCTGCTCCTGCACGGTGATGGGCCCTTGGCCATCTCTTAATTAAATGCAGAGGCTAAGGGAAGCTGCCCCGTGGCAGGGTGTTAACCAGCTGGTTCCTTGTGCCCAGGCTCCCTTCCCTGCATGTGAACAATGTTTGCTAAGCAGCTGGGGAAACTTGGCTCATTTGCTCAGCGGGGGACAGGATGGCAGCAAAAGCCTCTGCCCTGACCAAGGACTTGGCAGCCTGTTATCATGTGGTTATGGGTGTTAAAGATGTGTATATAGGGTCTGTGATATAGAGGAAATTATAACATGACGGTGTTGGAAATCATTGCAGTAGAGGCACATTTGGGAAGATATTTAGGTGATTCAAAATGTGTAGTGCGGGTTTTGATCACTTAGATATATGTTTTGCTAAATCCCTTCAACAAGGTAGTATTTCACGACTCAGAGACAAGGTACAACTAGACCTATGATAGGGAGCCACTGAGATATACTCAGTGTTAACGGTAAATCAGAATGTTGCTTAATGTTGTGCACCTGCGATTAGATCCTACATTATTTCAAGAAGGAGCTTTCCAGTGTCCTTTCTTTTTTTCTTCTTCTTTTGTTTGGCAAAATGTACTAGTGATGACTTAATAGTTAGGAGTTCCAATCATGTAAAGTTCCTTTTTATTTTATTTTTTATAGAATAATTTATCATCGTGCTATATGATCAAATCAAATTTACCTACAGCCTATGATGTTGTAGAGGTTGCATTGGGTACTATGTGTATTATCTCTATTTCTCTCTCTGTGCTCACAATGCTCTTGATAAATAATTTCATCTCATTTTAAATGTCAGAAATAATAAATGGCGCCACTTTAAAATAGGGCCCGAGCTGCCATCCCGGAGGACCTTCCTTGCATATCTTACTCTTCAAACCTTTGAAATGTTAAGATAGGACAAAATAACCTGTGGACTGGGCCTATAGCAACATTGAGTCCCAAAGAGCTATTTTAAAGATACCAGGAAAGCAGGTATTTATGACTACTGGTCTGATGACTATCGGACTGAAAATTTAAAAAAATATATAAGAATTGACATCACTATTTTAACTTATCTGCATCAATAGAAATGCCTTCCTTCTATTGATATAATAGTTCCCCTTCCTTTCTTATAAATATCCCCTGCCCTTGACTCCTAATCAAAACACTATTTGGGCTTCTGCCTGAATCACTGCTTTACTGAACAGCTATTCTTTGATCTCAAACAAGGGCTTGTTGCTTCTCACTTTGAAAGGCTTTTTATTTTTAGTTTAACATATCAAAGAAAAAACCGAGGTTGGATTGTGTACTCACATTTACACACATACTTGAATTACATGCCTGAAATTCTAACACTGATATTCTGTGCTCTTTTAAAAAACAAAACAAACAAACAGAAAAACCTTTCTTACTTTACTAAATAAATGTTAATATTTTATTGAAAAATCATAACTATATCAAATAAACCAGAATCCTAACTTTAATTTTGGCTAGATTTTTTTCCACCAACTTAAATTCCTTTTAAACAAATTGCAAATAATAACGAACATATTTTATCATTTCTAACTGAAAATGACTGCTTCAATCACAGCAAAACTGGGAAGTATAATTCTGTTGAGAACGTCTTGCATATTCAGTCGCAATCCTGGGCATACTCAGAACATCAATAACCACATAGTTTATAGAAGTTATTTACCTCTTTTGAAAGGATCATATCAAAATATTTTCTGCTTTTTCAGTGCTGTATCCTTAGCATGTAGAAGGGGTGTTAGGGTCCATGAGAGAAGACCAATAAATATTTATGAATGAAGAAAATTACAGACATTACTAGGTCAAGTTTCATAGGATTTAATTATCTACTTTAAATCCCTTTCAAAACTCTAAAAAAAATTTCTAAACGCTTTAAAGATTAGGTACTTAAATTAATCTCTGTTAAAAAACAAAAACAAAAAGTAACAACAACAAAAACAAACATGAAGATCAATTGTTTGCATGGAATGAGTCAGAAAACCTATTTGCATTAGAAATTAGACCACACTGATTTGGGGAAAAGTTTGGATACATTTAACCCTAGATAATTTTATATGTTTGATCATATTAAATGAGGAATGATAAACTGCTATCAAAGAAGTATGCTCATAGGTTGTATATTTTAGATTGTGTTGGTGGTAGTATAGAACATGGATAGATGTTGACTGATGTGTCACATTATTAAGAACTTAAACTAATAATTATGACTATTAAAATTCATATTTTTCAGTTCAGTAAGTATTTTCACATGCATTGCCTACTTCATTTTTACAACATCTCCGTGAGGATATCTAGGCACCAATTCTCTACCCCAATTTTAAGAGTGAAGGAAATTAAAGAGGAAAGTAAGAATGGACTTGCTGTGTTTTGCAGGTTTCAGTGTGCTCACTGACGTGCTGTGCAGGGTATGCTGCTATGGATGGTAAACTTCAAGGGAGAAGGAGTGTGGTTTGCATTTGTTTTACATTTTAATAGCACCATAAAGATTAAATAATAACCATATTCCCTATTAGAGTGCTTGAGAAGTAAATATTCTATTCTTGTTTTTAATTTTTTTCTCTTAGGAGAAAAACTCCTTTACCTGTTATTCCCATTAAATTGTTTAAAAGAAATCAATACATGTTTTTTATTTGTAAAGACAAAATTCCCTGGGATATTTAGGAAATGATGGTTTACAGTCATCAAGTTATTGTAATTAAAGTGCAGTTCTTAAAAAGGAGAAAAGAATCTCTCACCATTACTTATCTTCAATTTGTCCTTTGATATCTATCAGAAATGTAGTACATGTGGGAGGACCTTACAGAAAAAACAAGTTTAGCCAAGAATTCACACAGAAATATATAAGGCGGAAGAAAGTTCAAAACCAGGACTTTATAGGTCTAAGATTTTATAGTCAGCATAGAAGCTTCAGAGATATGAGGAGTTACAGATGTTAGTCTAGATTTTTGTTAATCAAAATTAGAACAGTTCCTTTTTGTTTCCATTTCCAAACTATTATTCCAGTTACTTTTTCTACTGTGTCTCCATTACTACTCACCCAGCCTTAACACAAATAATAAAAGTTTTAAAAAAAGTTCAAAGAGCCCTGGCCAGTTGGGCTCAGCGGTTAGAACGTCGGCCTGTGGATCACTGAGTCTCAGGTTCGATTCTGCTCAAGGTCACGTCCTTCGGTTGTGATTCGTGGCCCTGGTTGGGGTCGTGCGGGAGGCAGCCACTTGATGTGTTCCTTTCACGTTGATGTTCCTCTCTCTCTCTCTCTCTCTCTCTCTCTCTCTCTCTCACTGTTCCTCTCTCTCCCTCCCACTCTATCTGAACAAAAAGTAATGTCCTCAGGTGAGGATTAAAAAACAAAATGTTTCAAAGAAAAGTAAAAAAATCGAAAGTTTTAAAAATGAAAATAACTTTTTTGCGTATATGCATTTTTTATAATACTTCTTGTTTTGACTTGGTGAATTGAAATGAAAGTTCTCCAGTGAAGTACTCATTCCTTTCCCCAAGCCCTAAATACGATCAGAAAGCAAATTCACTAGAGATAATAATGCGCAAGTCTTACCCGGTAGTGCATGAGCTGCTGCCACCTTTTCCTCTGAACAAACAGCATGCTAGATAATGCTCCGATAAAACATGTGAGACAAATTGCAGTACTAAAATAGAGTCTATAAAATAAGTTATCTCCTGCAAATTGTATTTTAAAAATTTGCAAATTTATTTTTACCAAAAGTGAGTATGGTGGATGGATGAAGAACCTGTCCCCTACCATCGCTGAGTTCTAGACAACACTATAAACAGCACACCTAGAACGTGTAGCTGTATTCTGCCTAAACCATTACATTTGTACTGAGAGCAAATTTATCAGTTTCTGATTTGTTTCCTTACTGATGATTCTATGTCTTGCTGTCATTAGTCATTCATACTTTGCCTTTTTTTTATCGTATGTACATGTGTGATCCAAGGACCAAGAGACCAGCTATACAATAATCAAATCCAAGGAGACAGCTATCACCGCAGAGGGCTTGAAACCAGCCTCGGTGTACGTCTTCCAAATCCGAGCTCGCACCGCAGCAGGCTATGGTGTCTTCAGTCGAAGATTTGAGTTTGAAACCATCCCAGTGTGTAAGTCATTTTAATTACTGTCAGCTCATGTCTGTGTAATGGTTACCAGAGAAGAGGCAGTGGATCAATGCTCTCCGTGGGCATTCTGTCAGTCTCCTCTCCGTCGGCTCCCCCGGGCATCTCCCTTCCAGGTAGGACGCCTCGGCCCTGCTATGATGGCAGGTCAGCGGGTTAACACGTGGGCCCTCCTCCTCATCGAATTAATCTACAGGGAGGTGAAACATCAGGAGATCCCTGAGAAATGTTTAAACCTTGCTTTTAAAGACTTCCTTTCCACTGCTTTCATACTTTATTGAATTATTGCCATTTGCTTTTTATTGAGCAATGCCACCACGCTCCGTCTTTCTATGAAAACTCCACAGGGAGCTTTCATGAGTATTGAGTTTGGCAAGACATTGGTGCTCTCAGGAACCAATCTGATTGCTTCAAAAAATCAAAATCTCTGGCAGCATCTCTGAGTGGAGATGCCGGAAATGTTTTTGGAAAGGCCTTCTAATGCCATTTCCCCCCCATGAAATAGCACAAAACTTTTTCCTCTTTAATGTCAAGCAAAATATTTAGATTACTTACTTGCCCTAAACCACACATAAGAGTAAGACTGGAAGAAGACATTAACTTCCTTTTTATATATACATATAATTATGCACACTTTAAAAAGCCAGTTTCTGTAAGAATTAGTGATTTTAAAATAAAGAAAATAAAATGCATATTCCCTGCTTTGAAAACCAACAAAATGAGAGCTTACTTCTGAGATTTACTTTGTAATGATTAGAAAATCATTAAATTAAAGTTTCAATAACTTTATGAAATAAAATAGTTAGAAAAATCAAGATATACTTGTTTGAAACATGTTTAACTGAATTATCTAGAAAATAATTTTATTATATAAAAAGCATTTTAAATGTTACTGAATTTTATTTATTTATCTTTTATTAATTTATTTTTGTTACACATGTTTCTTCTTTTTCCTCCATTGACACCCTCCTCCTGATCCCCCAGCATAGTTGTCTATGCCCATTGGTTATGCATACATGTGTATTAGTTCTGTGGACTATCTCTTTCTTCCCCTCGTCCCCCTATTCTGAGGTTTGTCAGTCTGTACCCCACATCCATGTCTCTGGGTCCATTCTGTTCATCAGTTTGTTTTGTTCATTATATTCCACAAATAAGTGAGATCATGTGATATTTGTCTTTCTCTGATTGGCTTATTTCGCTTAGCATAATACTCTCCAGGTCCCTCTGTCTTGTCTCAAAGAATAAGAGATCTTTCTTTGTTACAGCTTCGTAGTGTTTCATTGTGTATATGTACCACAGCTTTTTTATCCACTCATCTATTGATGGACACTTGAGCTGTTTCCAGATCTTAGCAATTGTAAATAGTGCTGCTATGAACATAGGGGTGCATATATTGTTTCTGATTGGTGTTTCAAGCTTCTTAGGATATATTCCTAGGAGTGGGATCACTGGGTCAAATGGCAGTTCAACTTTTTATTTTTTGAGGAAACACATAATGTTTTCCACAGTGGCTGCACCAGTCTGCATTCTCACCAGCAGTGTACTGGAGTCCCCTTTTCTCCACACCCTCGCCAGCACTTGTTGTTTGATGATTTGTTGATGGCGGCCATTCTGACAGGTGTGAGTGTTACTTAATTTTATACAGACTAGGGTGCCACGTGAAAATGATAAATTATATATTTTCTATGCAAAGAAATTCTATGTCTGAAGTTTAACTGAAACTACTGAAATTTGAGCATCAATGCTATTCAGTAAAGTTTATTAAATAAAGAATGTTAGTCACAAAGTCCTTATAATATTGTCAATGTACTGATTATTTAATCTCATATCTGCAACCCTAAACTGGATTGATGACAAAAGGCTTGTTTTTTAAGCTGGACACTCTCATAGGCCTTGTTTCTGCTTTGCTGTCATTAGTCGTGTATACGCTTATGTAGTTTCCTAAGTCTGGGAACAAAGCCGTTGACTAGTATCTCACAATATTCTCGAGTGCATCGATAACAGTGCAAATAAAACATCTCATGTTAAAAGAGTACCAAGTTCCGCTTAGTTGTAAGGTGTTAGCATGTTTAACAACTAGTTTTTTCAGATTTTTAAATATACCTTTCCTTACATTTAAAAAAAATTAAATAGTAAATTTCAGATATGCCAGAATTCATCAATCTGATAACTGAGAGAACTAAGCGAGGTCATTTTCCAAATACTTTTTACAAAGGCTCATGTAAGGCTGGTCTGCTTTTTAAATTTTCTACATAATTTCTAGGGGAAAAATTTTATCACTCAAGTATTTATTACTACAAAAGCTGACTTTAGTGTTATTGATAGATACTAAAAACATTTCAGGGCTGTTCTGTCTCCTAGCTATTCGTGTGGAATGCTATTTTTACTTGAAAATGTGTACAAATATTTGCAAGCATTCTAGAAATGACTCTTTCTTTGAATAAAGTATCTATTACATACCAAACCCCTTTGACCTTTATATAGACTCTTTTCTGAATATAATTCAACAAGGATGGGTTAAGCACCTATTACACATTAATCTTTGTTAAACTCTGGAGAAGTCACCATGAGTAACACATGGAAATTACTCTCCAGAGATTAAGAAAGCAGTCTATTTAATTCTGAAGGATGGAATATTTGTTACAAAACTATTTGAGGATACTAATTTTGTTTATTATTTATTTTATTTACTTTCAACACATCAAAAGATGTTCACTGTAGAGACTACAAGGGACTCAGCTTTAAGCAGCAATCATTCACTCCTTTCTCCAGGCTGGTGGTTAGAGAGTTAAAGAAGATACATGTTGATAATTAAAATAACCCTTTCTTTTCAGAACTTCTGTAGCATTTGTGTTATATGCTATTCATTTGACAATTATCTGCATAGCATTTTGTGCAGTTACTTTAATTATTATATCAGGCAATTATTTACTTAACATAATTTAGTACTTAACATACATATATCATTTCTATAACAGAGTCTGAAAATGACAGAATGCAGGAATTATGTTATGTTAAATGTATTTTATTATTCATAATAAAGTTATCAACAATTTTTTTTTTTATGGGTGACTGCTAAGGATACTGGCTTGCATGAGTTACCACTGCTTGGGCAAGTTTATCTTATTCAGATATGTTAGGAAAGAAAATCACCTGAAAAATAATTACCTTGAACATATACTTTATTTATTTATTTATTTATTTATTTATTTATTTATTTTATTTTTTATCTTCACCTGAGGACATTTTTTGACATTTTGTTCAGATAGAGTGGGAGGGAGAGAGAGCGAGAGAGAAACATCGATGTGAAAGGGACACATCGAGTGGCTGCCACCCACACGACCCAACCAGGGCTGGGGACAAACTGCAACCGAGGTACATGCCCCTTAGCAGGAACCGAACTGGGTCTCTCCAGACCGCAGGCCGACGCTCTAACCACTGAGCCAAACCGGCCAGAGCTTGAACATATACTTTTAAAAGAATTTTCTAATAGGCTATTCAACTTAGAATTGTGATACATAATAAGGATACATTGACACATTATGTTACGGATTTGCTCAATTTATTCATTTATATTACCGTCATAAAATTGAAAAGCTTTCTTTTTCATCTACATTATTTTGTGTGTCACAAATATAGCCCTAAAATCAAATGCAAATAGTAGATAAAACAAGGATGCAAAAAATATTTATCTTAGAAAGACTATCACTTTAATTGTGTTGTGCACGCAAATAATGTACTTAAAATTTACCCTTTAAATTATTTTTATTCCCAGCAGCAATGAGAAAAACACCAACAAATAATCCTAACATGAATGAAACCATCCAGCCAAACTAGTTAGCTCTTTGTGTGTGTGTGTGTGTGTGTGTGTGTGTGTGTTTAACATAAATTGTCTTATAACTTTAGGAGTATCACTGAATCTGTCTTTATTTCTCTTTGTCCAAAATTTACCAAATACTTTGATATTTCTTGTATACTTTTTTCCCCACTGTATCACTATCTTTCATCTAAGTTTTTCCTATTTGATTCAAATTTGCATAATTCAATTGCTGCAATATTGTATTCTGTTTTTTATGGAGGTAATTGTAGATTCCCATGCAGTTGTAAGCAACAATACAGAGAGAACTCTTGTACACTTTCCTGTTTCTCCCGATGGTAACATTTTTCAAAACTATAGTATCATATCACAGCAAAGATATTACCTTGATGCTATCCACCAATCTCAGTTCCTAGTACTCCTGCCTGTGTGTGTGTGCGCACGCGCGCATTAAATTCTAGGCAATTTGGTCAGTTGTGTAGGTTTGTTTATCCATTATTACAGTAAAGATACTATATAGTAAAAACAGCACAAGGATCCCTGTGTTGCCTTTTTTAATCAACTCACTTCCTTTGGAAAAACTCCTATCCCATAATTAATCTCTGGTAATCATTAATTTCTAAACATGCATTCTTAAGTTTTGACATTTCAAAATGTTTTATAAATTAAATCACACAATATGTGACCTTTTAGCTTGGAATTGGGTTTTTCACTTGGAATAGGGATTCATCCAAATTGTGTATATCGGGTTTGTTTCTTTTTATTATTAGGTAGTATTTTATGATATGTATGTAACCACAATTTGTTTAGCCATTCACCTGTTAAAGGACATCTGAGCTGATTTCAGTTTTTGCTATTACAAGTGAAGATGCTGTGAACATTTAAGTACATGTTTTTGAGCCAACCTAAGGTTTAATTATCCTGGGATAAATACCTAAGAGTATTATTGTTGGATCAAGTGGTAATTGCTTATTTAATATGGTAAGAAAATGCCAAATTGTTTTCCAGAGTGGCTGTATCATTTTACATTCCCACCAGCAATGAATGAATGATCAGTTTCTTCACATCTTCTTGGTGTTGTCACTATTTCTTTCTTTCCTTTTTTTTTGTCATATTAGACAGGTGGATAGTAATATATCTTATTGTGGTTTAAATCTGAATTTTCCTG